ATTCACTGTCTGGCAGGCAGAGATGTTCTTTCACGTCATTGTTGTTGAGTTCTGGGGGCCAATTTTCTTTTTGTGGTGTGTCCTTCCCCAGAGGGCTTGCTTGGTTATTGTATTTTTTCCTTCTTCCTGTTGTTTGTTTTCTAATTTGTTCTATGAATTGGGCACCGTGCCACTGGTACTGGTAGGCTTATCTTTGGGGTGTTCCTACTGGGACGTTGGGAACTGATGGTCAGACTGAGTCTGGCACTGTTATGCCAGAATCCAAAATAGTGGAGGACAGGATACTGTTGCTGTGGATGGGGTGATGAGTGCTGTTCCTGAAGATCACTGAGTCTCTGCATGCTGCTGGCCTCTTCCCCTACATGCCTGTCTTAACCTTTGTTTATGAAGCCTTCCCTTTTTCTTTACTCAGTTCCAGAAGGGAATTGTGGGGTTTCTCGCTTTCAACAGCCCCTCAGGTAGGCCTGCACTTTCCTGGGACCCACAGTTCACCTTGTTGTCATGGGATTTTGCTAGGAATTACATTGAATCTGTATATTGCTTTAAGTAATGTGGTCATTTTAATGATGTTAATTCTTCCAATCCATGACCACAGAATATCTTTCCATCTCGTTGTGCCTTATTTTTCTTTTTTTTTTTTTTTTTTTAAATATTAAATTTTATTTTTATATTCCCCCATACAATTGCAAACGCCCCATTCTGACCCCAATCCTTCCCCTCCCGCCCCCCACCCCCCAAAAAGTGTCTCTGGTTCATAGTTTTTTGTTGATTTTGATTTTCACTTTCTTATATTCATTTTCCTGGTCCCTTATTTAAGTTTTCTAGATTCCTGCTATGAGTGAGACCATCCAGTATTTTTCTTTTTCTTTTTGGCTTATTTCGCTGAGCATGATCCCTTCCAGTGCCATCCATGTTGCTGGAAATTGCATGTGTTTATCTTTTTTGAATGCTGAGTAATATTCCATGGTATATGTGCCTTATTTTTCTTTTAACAATGTCTTACAGTTTTTAGTATACAGGTCTTTCACTTCTTTAGTTAAACTTCTTCCAAGGCATTTAATTATTTTGAATGCAGTTGTAAATGGGATTATTTTCCCAATTTCATTCACTGCTAGCTCATTATGTGCATAAAGAAATAAAGCAGAATTTCTTTATTAATTTTGTAGCTTACCACTTCACTGTATCTGTTTATTATTTCCAAAAGATTTTTACTGGAGTTTGGAATTTTCTATGTATATTATCATGGGTAACTTTTACTTAAAGTCAGATTTTTTACACTATTACATCCCTTCTTTGTCACTCTAATCTCAGCAATTTAGGAGTTTAGGGTTGGGGAGGGGCTGGAGAATAAAGGGGTAGTTTCTTTTTCACCTTTCCTAAAGCCTACAGCAGTTGTTGACATCAAACTTCTTTCCAACTTGGACCAAGTATCAGACAGAACCAGGGCTCCTGGTATAAACTTAAAATAGACCATTCCGGTCCGTTCTACTCTTAAGTTGTAGAAGTGAAAAAACGTAAGTGTGAATCATCAGGGAAACTTGTCACACAGGCACAATACTCTGGGTTCCTTTGCATGGTAGGGGAAGAGCAGGAAGAAGGGAATATCCACTCCTGCCCCTGGGAACATCAGGTTTATCTTGACTTTAAGGACACTCATAGTTGTCTATTGCTGCAGTTCACAGATTGCATGGAGGATCCTTCATGCTGGTGGGTCCTCCCAAGTGGTCAAACTCCAAGACAGTTACTGAGTTACAGTGACTTTTTCTGGCCTCTGCATCTTAATACACACTCTGGTTAGTGGGTAAAGGCAAGAAGGTGGAGCTTGTATTAGCAGGATGTTTGGAAAGAGACAAAGATGTTGGAGGCAGGAACCAACATTTCCCAAGGTTCTTTCTTAAAATACACCATGTTTGTCTTGGGGACTGCTGACTCACCCCCAGGGTGGGATTTCCATCTCAGAGCTATATTCCCAAGAGTGCCTGGGGAAACTAGCTCATTCCCTACCTAGAGTAGCCACAGAAACATCTGCTTGAGCTTATTAAAAAGGCCAAATAACCAACTGTCAACCCCTCATTGTTCTGACGTCAGGACACATTCCTCTGGACTGAGGCACTCACTGCACAGGGACTCACCCCTGGATGGCCCATGTGTCTGAGAGATTGTGAACTGATTTTGATGATTATTTGAAGAGCCTCTTATATTCTAGTTGATTTAACCTTCTCACACAAATAGCAATATGTCTCTGTGGGGAATAATGGAATGACTACTGACTCACTAGGTAAACAGGAAACAGAAAGCAAAAAACCAGTCAATTCCACTCTCTTCTCTTCGTGTACCGGTAACTCAAATTTGTAGAAAATCATCTGCCTTTGTAGTTAACAGACCCAGGCTCAACTTGCAGTCATTCCAGACTTTGTATGACATGAGATAGGCTTGTAAATGGGGTTATTTCCCCAATTTCTCTCTCTGCTAGTTCATTATATGCATAAAGAAATACAACAGACTTTGTTTATTAATTTTGTGGCTTCCCACTTCACTGTATCTGTTTATTATTTCCAATAGATTTTTACTGGAGTCTTTGGAATTTTCTATGTATATTATCATAGTCAACTTTTACTTAAAGTCAGGCTTTTTACACTATTACTTCCCTTCTTTGTCACTCTTATCTCAGCAATTTAGGAATTTAGGGTTGGGGACTTTCCTCTTCCATAAAATGAGTTTAATTTTATCTATACTACCAGCCACACAGAGATCTTAAGAGAGCCTAACAGAACACTGGGGTAGGATGGCATCCTAAAGAGTATATAATGCTTAAATTTCCTCCTATACCTGCACCACCAATAAGTCACATCACCTATCCTTGTTCCTTCTGTGATGGAGAGCTCTAACCCATAAAGAATCCAATGCACTGTGAGATAGCTCTGATTTATCCTGAAAACTGCCTCTTTGGGTGTTCAACCAATGGGTTTTCTTCATGTGGATTTAAATAACAATCCAAGCTTTTCCTGGAAGAATGGCTTTCAGATATCCAGAGGGATCACTGTGCCCCTGATCTACTCAATCCCTAAGGCGTCCCTCCACTGAGCTACCTTCACTGTCATGGCTAGTATCCAAAGGTACTTTCAATAACCTGTGACTGAATGTGGTATTTAAAGACAGCATGAAAGGAGGAGAATGAAGTGGAACACTCACCTCCCTTGTTTTAGATGCTATGCCTCAATTAATGTGTCTGATTCTCGAATTAGCTGCTTTGGTGGTCTGCAGAAGCACCTCCTCTATAATCTCAGCTTCAATCACCTAACTTCCTGACTACCACTACCTTTCTTCCCAGTTCATTTCATCTCCTACCCAGTGCTATGATTCAGCTTCATTAGGACTTAGCAGCCATTGATCATATCAGTGTCCTTTACCCCTCCTCTCTTTCAGCATGCCCTCGCTTCTCTTCTTATCCAGCCTCAATGTCATGACTTATCACAACAATGGTCCTCTCGAATATACTCTCAAATCTTTTCTCTCTTGTCTGGCAAAATTCCAACCCTTATGAAATTTCTTACTCTGTTTTTCCTGCATCCAGAGTTGAAACGTGCTACAGAAGAAAGAGAAATAGGCTAACTAACCTACATTGAATTCATGGCCAGTAACGTCAAGAGGGCTGACTGCCCAGCAAGCACACTCTTAATTCCTTAGTGTGGATATTCCAGATATTGCTTCCTCCATTCTGATGCCTCCACCACCTCCATCCCCATCCTCACTGGCAGTGGACAGCCTTGCCTTTATCTTAGGAGGCTCCCACACATCCCCACCACATCAATCTACATGTCTGCATTTGTCCCCATATCTGCCTCCTCTGTCCCTTCAGTGGATATTAGTGTGTTCTATCTAAAACTAAGTCTCAGGTACACACTACACCTTCACCTTCTTGCTCCCTTACTCCACACTCCACTGATGATCCCTGCTTTTCTATAGGATGATTCCCATTCCATACAACTATAGTATTTTCTCTTACTTTAAAAAGCAAAAGCAAAGACATAACAATAACAACATCAACGATAATTAAATGCTTTCTTTTTAGCCCCAGATAAGAAAACCAAAGGAAACTTAAAAATTGAGTAGCCAGGTTTGTCCAAGGTCACTGACCTGGAAGTGGTGGGGTCAAGGGTCAAACCCAGTTGGCACACTCCCAAAGCCCACCAAATGAGACTTTATGGGCTGCACAGGCCAGAGCAACTCTTTCTCCAACCCATCACTCTGGTTTGAGAGACTGAACTTGGACAAGGCCAGCTCTGCCAAAACCCAGGTGCTCCAAGGACAAAAAGAAAGGCTAGAGGTTTTCAAGTGAGACAGAGGCTTCCTGGGTCTTCAGGGACCTGAAAGCTGCTATAACCCTGATTTGACTGACTGGCTTATTTCCAGGATTCCATCCCGTCAGTATGGCAGTCATAGTGAGGCGGGCGGTTGGCTATGAGTACAGTCAGATTTGTGGACTCTGCCAATATGACACACCCCCACACAGACACAACACCTCATGAGTTTCAGCCCTGAGAGCACATGGCTTCCTGTAGTGGCTTATTAATGTGCCCTGGTCCTCAGATAGAGGTGGGAAATGGTGAATAGTGTGACAAGTTGCCTTCCAAAGCCTTCTATCAGAAGGGGACACTTCTGTCCACCACTCACAGCATCCTAATTTATGGCACAAACCCAGAACAGCTCAGACCAAGGGGGTTTCCACCTGGGGCATCAGACACTCAGCTACCTCCAGACCACAGACTTCAGGCATCAGCCCTCATCCTAACGCTTGCTGTTCCCAAAGATTCTCCCAGAGAGTGATTCTATTTGGTTCTAAGTCTCCCAAGTACATGGGGCCAAGTTGGAATTTTCAGATCCATCCAGAAAAGTGTGCCTCTCCCGCCTCTTGTTTGTGGATCTACCAAAACCAGAGTTGACTCTAGTCACATTATCTCTTAATAGTCCTCTTTCAAAAAGGAGATTGGGCCACTTACTTATCTGTCACGGCCTGCATGAACTCGTCCAACAGCTCATCATAATCCTTCCCGCGCACGCGCTGGTGTTTCAGGCCAATGTATAGAGGGTCTCTGAGCAGCTCCTGGAACAGACAGCATCCGTTTCCTTAAGGGCTCTGGTTTAACGGAAAGGACCAGTGGGTGGGGGGTGGGAGGGAGTGGGGAGCCATCTGCCCTTCCTCCAAGCATCAAATCTGGAAGGTCTGGAGGCTAAGACCCTGACTGAATCTGATTCAATTGACTAAGAAATTATTATTACATAGAAATTTGATCAAAACATTTGTAAAAGCTCAGCTAAAACAAATATATAACCTCCTCATACCACCCAAAAAACAAACAAAAAAAAAAAGACCCTGATTGAGTGTGGACTACCAGGTGGTCCCCATTTTAGGAACCAGGAAACTTTGTTTTTTGTTTTTTTAAAGATTTATTTATTTATTTTTTTATACAAGCACTGGGTACAGTCAGAAGTGCAGGAGGTAAGAGAATTCACCAGAGCCAGAGCAGGGAGCAGAGCAGGCAGACTGACGAAGTACACTGCTGAGGGGAGCAGCGGGCGGCAGGAGAGGTCTGCGAGCCATGTGGGACCCTCGCCCGGGGCCAGGGTTCCAACAGGTGCTGCAGAGGCTGCGGGCAGCTTCGCAACCCAGCGCTCAACTGCTGTGCCACTGGGGAGACCCGGAGCCAGGAAACTTTGAATCAGACAAGCATTTCTCAAACAGTCTTCCAACTTCTGACTGAGATTGGATTTATTTCAGATATTTCCACAGTGGCATTACTGACATTTTGATTTGAATAGTTCTTTGATGTGAGGGCTGAATTGCACATTTTAGGATATTTAGCAGCATCTCTGACCTCTAGCCACTAGAAGTCAGTAGTATCCCCAGACATGACAATGGAAAATGGCTCTGGCTATTGCCAAATGTCTTCTTGGGGTCCATATTGCTCCTGGTTGAGAATGGCTCTTGCCAGTATCTGGATTGAGGTAACTCCTCCAAAGCCACTGTTCTGGACTCAAGTAGAGTCCTTATTCATTCATTCATTTACTCTTTCAATGAAATATTTGAATACTTACCATGTGCACAGCATCATTCTAAAATCTGGGGATACAAGGATAGAATGATACAACCAGAAATTTCTGTTTGGGAAAGATGTTACTGTTCATGCCATCCTGTGTTAGGCCACTCTCACTTCCCAACCTCCTTGCAGCTTCTTCTGTCACATCAGTCACACACTGTCTACACTGGTCTCATGGTGACTTTCACTGGCTCGCTTCCTAGCTGCCTCTCCCACCCCCAACATCTCGGAATCAGTGGACTCATTCATGCATGGCACATCTACAGATCAACTGTTACTGCTGACATTGGGCCATGTGGGAGATTTATAGATGAAGGGAAAATGGTTATTGTCTTCAACATGCTCGCAGCCTATCAAGTGGTTTCTGACTAAACTTACAAACTCTGCTATAGGGTACAGTGACCATGCTTTGGGACCAAGTGTGGCACACAGGAGCATACAGAGGAGTAAAACAATTCTCTTTGGGGATGGGTGGGGATGTGTCATGGTGGAAATGGTCAGGCATTAGAAGACTTGCAGTGTTTGACAGGAGGGCTGGGCCCTCCAGGCTGAGAAATCAATGAGAAGAAAGGTTGGGAGCTGGAGACAAAAAGAGGAAGAAGTACCTGGTGTGTTTGGGAAACAGGAAGTGTAACCATGGCTAAATGGTTAAATTGCTTTCAGAACATAAAGCAAAAAGAAAAAAAAAAATCTTAACTCTTCTCTGAGACTTGCTTTTTCAGACACAACAGAGGCTTCACCAGTCCTTGAGCGGAGAAACATTAATGCAGAGGGGGCTCCTCAGAGGTGAGGGGCCCAGAAAAATAAGTCAAATTCCAGTAACCTGGCGAAAAGCCTCTTCATACTTCCTCATGTATGAACTTCTCTGTAACTAGTCAATGAATCTCAGGCACGTTCACATTTCTTTACCTTTAACCTACTCCTTAGCCAATAAAAATTAAAACCTACATAACCTCATTCTTTTTCTTAATTGGGAGATAGATTTTCAGATTAACTCCTCTATATTTGCCAATCAATTTGTAATAAAGTGTTTTTCTTTTCTCAAAACATCAGTTTCTGTGCTTGCCAGGTAGAACATGCTGGGTAGCAGAAGTAATTCCTTGTAATGGGGTCTTCTGGAATTATCTATTTTTGTGTATATTTCACCAAGAATATGAGCTCCTAAGGATAAGGATTTATGTTTCTTCATTTCCATTTGAACTCTTAGAAGATATAAAGATATAAGATGAGTAAGATTATAGTCTGAAGTCCCTTCCCCCAGCTACTCCTGCTTTCCCCACTCTATTCTTTATGGCTGTCTCCCCAATAAAGCTCTCACATATCTCTTTCTTAAAGGACCTGAGAAGACACAGAGGTAGGTCTTATTATTTCCCCCCATTTTATAAATGAAGCAACAAGACTCAGAAAAGTTAAACAACCTGTCCAGTCCTTGGGCAGGTAAGTAGAAGTATCAGCATTAAAATTCAGGTTCCAAAGTCTGTTATCTTAACCACTGAGCCATGCTGCTTGGGCAACTCTTCTTAATAATAAGAATTAGTGAACTTTTGATAAAGATAGTGCTCTAGGCCCATGCTGTCTTGGTAGCACTGCAGGAGGTGGCTGGGCAAAGTTCTGTGGGACAGAAAAGAACAGGCACTGTATGTTTTTCCAACCCCTTACCCCCAATGCTGGGCCATGGGTGGGTTTAGCACTTTCTCCAAGGCACCACGAGTCCTTTCTCAATATCTTCCCCCTAGATTACGCTTACTTGAGACAATTTAGGGTTCTGCTCCAGCAGTTGCGTGTGTGGCAGAGGGGGAGTAGGTGTCAAAGGATGAGGTTTTACATACTTAGTGCTCCCCTTCCATGAATCACCTTCAAAGTGAACAATGGATCCTCTGTCTTAAGGATTCTCTTCCCATTTTACAGCTGAGGAAGATGGAGCTGAGGTTAAAGTTTAAATAAACTGCCTAAGCTTGCACAGCCAGAAGTGGCTAAGCTGAAACACAGTCTTATTTTGATTGGGTCTCAAGACAGGGCCCTTTCTACCCCAACATTCTATGCTGTGGGGACCAGGGAAGATGGGGGTGGTGCCTTATCTTCCCTGGGCCTTCTGGCACAGTGCGGTTGGCTGAGAATGTCCAGGCATCACCCTGATGACCAGGCTGGGAAGAAGTGGGCTAGAACAGGGTCTGGGGACGGGTCATGTGTGCTCCAGCTGCTGGATCTCGCCTTTCAGGAGGAAAATGGCTTCTCAAAAGCAGCAGGGGGTAGGTGGGGTGGGGACTCCCACAGCTCTCCTGATATGACACAAAGAAGTCTCACTGAGTGCTTCCGCTGTAACAATGACTGCCAATGGAGTGTGGGGCTGTAAGGCCTGGTCTCTCCCCTTGTAGCCCTCCTCTATTCCTGACTTCCACATACAAATATCTAGAAGTTTTCAGCAGATAGTACTGTCAGTTGGAAATGCAGGATGCCTGGCCAAATTTGAATTATCAATAGTTAATGTATGTCCCAGGCATTACATGGGACACACTTTAGACTAAAAAAAAAAAATTGGCCATTTATCTGAAATTTAAATTGAACTCTCATCTTTTATTTTCTTTGCTAAATCTGTAGCCCTATCAGGAGAGGCAAAAGGAAGTTGGAAGGCCATGTAGTGCGGTGGAAAGGGCAGTGCTGCGCCTGGTGGCTGTGGCTGGGATGGTCCCCCAGCATCCTCAGTATGGCCTGGCTTTAGAACCAGAAGGATTTTTGGGATTTGAAATCAGATGGGTTTGAATTTAAGCTCTGTGATGTTGGCCAAGATATTTAGCTTTTCTTTGCTTCATTTTTCTTCTCTATCAATGAGGATGAAAATGATATTCATCACATAATGCCGGTTCTTTGAGGCAAGAATCTGCTCCTTATTCCCTGTGTCTCTCCAGTGATTCCCATGGGGTGGGGCAAGGCAGGCCCTTACAAAGCAGGTATTGACACGAGATACCTGAGTCTCTGGCCTGGGCTAAGGGGATGTCAAATTAAGAACTATGAGATCTTAGAAATCACTTGCTTTAACTTCTTCTAAATGAGTTTTTGAGACCTAGAAAGATTAAATGAGCTGCCAAGGCCACCAAGCAAATTTGGTGGGAAAACAAGAACTAGACCAGGGTCTTCCCAGGTGGGACCAGCTTACTGACCTTGTGCCTTCCTGTGTTACAGTTACTAAGTGTCCTTTGCAACAAAATATTCCTGTAAGTATAATTCTAGTAGAAGTCTCTTCCAGAGTCGGTGAACTGGAACCTCCTCCTCCACTCGCTGTGGGAGTTAAATATTCCCTCGATGGCTGTTTGCCTAACTCTGCCTTCCTAAGATTTTTTCTGGAGCCAAAAATGTCACAGAAAACAATGGTTTTCTTCTCTTCACTCACCCTGTCACTGAGCACTGGACTTGAGCTGGAGGAGAGATGAACCTCCTGGCTCAGAAAAATTATTTCTCTTCTATAACAATAGGTGCTTTGAGATGTTACTCAGAGGGCATCTGGGGTTTGGGAGGTTGTGGTTTGGGCTCATGCTGTGGACATAGAACCCTCACCCATCAGGTTTGCAGTGATGCCCACCATGCACTTCTTTGAGAGCTCAGTTGAGGCCAAGACTAGGCTACAAAGGTCCGAGAAGGACACCCTCATTGATCATGTGCGCAGAACACACCTCTGACGGCCCTGCGTAGTGCACGCTGACTGTCCACTAGCTGCAGCAGTGTGTTCTTGCAAGGTGGAAGAACTCTCAACACCCAGCTCTATCGGGGATCCCAAGAGTCTCCCCGAATCCAGTAATGTCCCCAAGGCACCTTCACCAGGTTCAGTGACCATTCCTGTTCCCGTGTTTGTCTCCCCATGCACACATGACTCCCCTCCTCCCCCGAGTGAGCTACTGAGAATCACACAGCATGTCCATGTGACTGAATCCACAGAGGCTCGACTTCCACCAGGAGAAGACTCCAAGGCTCAGAGGCCACTTGAAGCCAATGCTCTCACCCCCATGCTGCC